TGAAAAAGAACATCGGCGTCGTCAGGATAGACCCAGCGATGGTGAACGTGAACTGGTGTATGTTCTTGCTCCGACTCCCACGCGTCAAACTCTTTCTGCATATCAAGATTATCGAGATACTGTAGCGTCGTCATCAACAACCGACTCGAATCAATTGGATCGGAGCGGCTATGAAGGTGGTACTAACACCACTAATGAGGCTGTTGGTAATATTGTGCAGGATGAGGGTTCGGCATCGGTTGCTGTAAACCATGCTTCTAATATTAATGAAGTTAATGCGTTCACTGATCAGGTCAATTGATGCGAATGAGTTTCTGTTATTTTGTTCGGTTGAATGAACAAAAAGTTTTAAGATAGTTGTAGTTTTGTATTCATTTATGTTCAATTTTATTATTTTGGCTTTTGAAATTTAGCAGAGATTTGGTAGAAGTTTTTTTAGGCGTTTTTATTCCTTTTGCTTTATTTCTATGTAACTTGACGTGCAAAAATCAAATTAAATTGCTTTTATGCGTATTAATAAATGGTTTCACTATAATATTTTATGTTTAAGAAATTTGACTATAAAATTAGTTTTAGCCGGATTAATTATATTTATTAAGTTTACATAATAATATACAAATTTCAAAATATATGATTATTATATAGTTATAAGGCATGTGATTGCTAAGTAAGACATTTTTGGCTTCCGCCTTGTCGCTACACTAACAAAACATTTAAATGTGATTTAAATCATATTTCGAAGTCATGGTTTTTGAACCTATATTTTCTGCAACCTGGTCGGATGATATGTAAAAAATTATTTTAACGAGGCATATAAATTCGTATAAGGTCATGTAAGTCATCTAGCACTGTAGTACTCAAGATCCTATTTTGTATTAAGGAAAATCCACACGTTTTTTTAGGAATTTAAATCATTATTTATTGACGGTTTATTAACATAAATTCATAAATTTAGGTTATATCCTGAAGTGCGAATTATTAGGTAGTAGGCATAATATATATCGATATGAATTGTTTATTATAATAAATTCAGTTTTAAGAAATTAAAAGTGATAATAAAATCCTTTTATGAAACACCCAATAAATAAATTGAAGAGGTAAAAGTATTTCCAAAATTCTTTGTAGAAAAAATGATAAATCTTATAATAAACAAAATCGGAAATTTATATGTTTTTTCTATAGTATAGGAATGGGGCTTGCTTACATATAAAAGTATTTTTTTTATTAAGTAAACCTTCTTTTAGCTTATAATAAAAGTTGTAGAGCTAATAGATCCTGATCAGGGTTGTCACGTTTATATGTTTTTTCTATTTGCTTATAATTCTATTCATTTTTTTTATTTTCTATTGTAAATTTTGAGTATTAAATTTTGCTAATTAAATATAAAAATATTGTAAATTTATTACTTTACTAATGCTCTAACAATATATGCTTAAATAATTGCAAATTATTAATAAAAAAAAAATTTTTTATATAACGACAAAAATTGAGCTTTGTTCTATTGTTCTATTTGCCAACACTGATCCTGATATATGAGTATTTTTCAATCGTTTACTATAAGGTTTTTTCTTAAGAAACGGAGCACATGGCATTCCACTTACCGTACTATATAAGGTAACTAGTAAATGCCCGCCGATTTTACTATAAAATTTGTTCCCTTTAACTGTGGACTACCAATTAAATTTTAATAACGATAACAATCAACCTGATATTAAAAAAAGTATTAGCAAATGCTCTGTAAAAAATCGCTCTCTCTGCCTATTTTCTTAAAAAATGATATTATTTTTAAAAACTTTGACTTAATTAGAGGGTGGCGATGCATCGTACTGGCAATGAATTATAATTTCACATTAAAATATTATTTGTCAACAGCAAATAAGTGCGTACCCATCAACCAAATATCTAAAATGGAAATTACAAGAAATTGGAATTTTTCACGGGATGTACTGTACGTAGAAGTTTCGTACGTACGTACTGTATTGGATTTTAATTGTACTGTACAGTACTTAAATTTAGGAGTACTATATTATATATCGGGGTGTAGAAGTTTCGTACTGTATTTTACTAGTGAATGTACTGTACTGTACATAAATATAGGTGTACTATAATGTGAATCCGTACAGTACACCTTTTCATTATAGAAAATGTAAATGCGTACTGTACTGTATTGAATAAAAAATTACAAATGACAGTACAATACAGTACGGGGTGTAGAAGTTTCGTACTGTATTTTTATATTGAATGTACTGTACTGTACATAAATATAGGTGTACTATAATGTGTATCCGTACAGTACACCTTTTCATTATAAAAAATGTAAATGCGTACTGTACTGTATTGAATAAAAAATTATAAATGATAGTACAATATAGTACAGTATATTGGACTTGTTAAAAGATGCCAAAAGCGATCTAAAAATTTACAACTCAAAGCTGACTTAAATAAATTAAAAAAATTTTATGTAATAAATATGTAATTAATTCGAACACATGTTCGTCATTCACACTTAAGATTAAAAAACAATAATGTTACCAATATTTTATTGTAACAGTATTAACGTTAGCGAAAAATATATCACATTCGCAAATATATAACATATCGATGATACAACAATTAGCAAAATATAGAATTAAAATTTAATTATTTTGAAGTTTTTGAAGTTTTTCTAGTAACATTATTTCCCTTTCCAACTTATCATTTTTGTTTTTCTGAATGGCGAGCTTTTCATGTTCAATTCTTAAAAGTCTTTCTTGTTCCTCAATGTTAGTAGATTCACTTGCAACTCGAGCTTTTTTAGAAGATTTTTGATAAACTGATGTTTCATTTGAACATTTGCCTTTGCCTTTAAATTTAATAATTTGTTATTAATAATATTTATTTACATAAGATATAATAATGTACAACATACTGGTTTGTTTAACCGATTTCGTAGTTCTTTGTAAGGGTGATTTATCTCTATAAGATTCTGGTATATTCGTTTTTTGGTATTTATAAGCTGAACTACATTGAAGTTTGTCAAATTCTTTGGCCCTATTTTTAAAGATTTTATATGTAAATTTTAAATATAAAATTTAAATATTGTACAAAAATATACGTATACGAAATTCGAAATTGTATGTAAGTGCGTAATCTTAAAATTTTTACATACTTAGTAATTGCGGCCAATAAAGATAAATTATGCCCATTCCTGTTAATATTCGCATGAGCGGATTCTCCGGCATTAGTTGTGAATGGTGTACTAGTCCAAATCGGTTGTGCCATTTTAGTAAAAGCAGGAGACAAACCAGCGAGTATCCATGGATGTTTTTTATTTTGTACCCAATCTAAAAGTAAAAAATTTATACGTATAATTTATTAAATTATACATATATGGACTAATCTAATTGTAACAACATGTTACACATAACAACCCCAGAAATTAGTCTGACCATAGTGACCCAGTGATCGACAAATTAAATCAAAATTATGCCAAAATTTTTACACAACTTTGATCAAAGGTATCTTGATGCCAAATCAACCAAATTCGACAAAAATTTTTTATTCGAATTCTACAGAACTGTAGAATTTGAATAAAAAAATTTTCATCGAATTTGGTCAAGTGGGTACTGATATGCCTTCGATCAAAGTTTGAGAATTTTTAAAACGCCTATG